TGAACGAACTAATACGTATCGCTAAAATTATGTGCGTTATATGTTTACGTTTTATGCGTTTAAATGATGCTCTACGTTTTGTTTTAAATCATTAAATTGAAATCATGTTCAAATTTTTTAAATTTCGTCTAAAGCACAATTTTCCTTTTAGATTAATCAAAAAAATGTTGGGAACTTACTAACAGGAATTTCCCGACAGTATTCGCGTTAGAAAAGTCGATTATTAGAAAAACTATCTAAGTGTCTATAGAACTGGGGTCGGCTAAATTTGCTCGAAGTGATTTCGCATTTTGGATTAATGGCTCTTGTTAGCGAGCAACAGTTAACGAGTATTAGATGAATGGTACTCGACAGCGCAAGAATACGTGCTCGATATCGACTCTAAAATGTCATAATGCCTTTAGAGAGCGAAGCGAAAAACATCCTCATAAAAACACATATTTAATAAAATTAATGGACATAGAAAGATGTTCAATCTTTTCCATTGTTTGCACCTATATTATTCTTTTCGAGGCAAGTAATACCATACCCTTAAGTTCAAAGTTCTTATATTTATTGCATTGAAAGAAGAGCATGTTATACAATTATTCTACTCTTCGTTTTTTTAACAAACTGCCAAGTAAGTCAGAAATTGCCGGCAATTCAGGCACCGATTGATTATGGTGATGACTTCCAGATATAGATTTAATATTGTGAGCACTTTGAAGATTACGATGCTGGGGAAAAGTTGGCATTAACTTGGGATCGCACGCTTTGGAATAATAATAATGATTATTTTTATCAATTTGAAATAAGTTAAAATTATATACTTACGTAAAGGAGGCTCTTTGAAATAACTACTATGGAGACATTCTTCCGCAGTTGCTCTCTTTTTAGGATCGTACATGAAGAGAAAATTTAAAAGTCTTAAACCTGCCGCTGACAGGTACTGAAACTTTGGTTTCAGATTGTTATAGGGCTGTTGTTTAAGAGTGAAATTTTGTATGGCTGGCATTTTTGGAAAATCTGGCCAGATGGCTTCTGAAGGAGTCCCTAATAGGTCAATAATCAGTTCAAGCTGAGCTATTTCTGTGTTGCCGGGCAATAAGGGCTTATGCGATAACAATTCTCCTAGAATGCAACCCAGAGCCCACATATCCAATGCCGTAGTTTGGGTACAAGAGCCCAAAATCAGTTCAGGGCAACGATACCAAAGCGTAACTACCTGCAAGTATTATATAATTTAATATTCATTGTTTTAGTTCGCAATTCGCGTTTGTTTTCTAAATGACTTTTCACGTGTTATTCAAGACGAGATGCAGAAACAAAGATCTTTCCGAATAAAGGAAACTTCCAATCTTTCAAATTGTCATCTGAGTAAGCCAACGGCTTTTTCACCAAGTGAAAAATTGCAAAAAAAAATTTAAAAAAAATTATTGAAAAGTTTATGACGTACTTGCGGAGTCATCGGTTGACATGGTTGACCGAAAAGTCGAGCTAAGCCAAAATCAGCTGCAATGTATTTTACGTTAAACAATATTTTTCTTTCCATTTTCATGCCAAACGTACCTATTTTTACGCAACCTTTATCAGTCATAAGCAGATTGGAAACCTTTAAGTCGCGATGTATTATATAACGCGAGTGCATATACTTAAGGCCCTGTAAAACTTGTAATATGATACACTTGACTTCGGATTCAGAAAATGGTTGCGCCATATTGTCAAGCAACGACGCTAAATCCTGTTCGCAATACTCCATTACCAAGAATATGCTGTAAGAACAATTTTTTTAAATAAATAAAAGCTTCTAGAACGGTAGATAGATTGAACATAATCCAATAAAGCGCGTTGCGATTAGAATCTGCTATTAAGGTGAAAAAAGGAATTAGAAAAACAAACAATAACGAGTGAGGATTCACTCTTCTTTAATAGTATAGATTTAGTTCAATCTGATCGCAACATGTGACAGTCACTGTACCTCTCCAAGCTCTTTCCTACCACCACATCTAGTAGATTGACTATATTTTCATGTTTGCACGATTTCAATATCAAAATTTCCCGAAAACCGCTGACAGGCAATCCATCCTTCTCCTGATCCATACGAACTTTTTTTAATGCTACAATTTCGTTGGTACGTGAATCTCTTGCACGGTCTAAAATACACGAACTGTTAGCTGGAAAATTTATTATCGAAAATACTCGTTTAGCTAAATCCTATTTACAGACAATTCCGTATGTTCCTTCACCAATCCGATTCAACTTCTCAAACTCAGTCACAACGCGACAGCGACCGAACTAAAATTATTCCCAAAGTTCTAGTTGCAATAAAAGAATTTTTTATGCTTTTGTTATAATTTGTGTATATATACCACATCTCGTTCTTTTATTTCTGTTGGTTCTCCCGTCTTTATCGATATAAGAAAACCTTTACGAGTAACAGGTGCTTGTGGATCCGCGGCTACTTTGATTGTGTCGTTTGCGTCACCATCTCCCATTTCTACAAGTTTATGATGAGTTGCAAATGGATAAGATTAATAAGTCCAATCCGTTAATAATTTACATAAACCCTAAATTTTATGTGAGATCCAAAATAATTAAATTGGGCGAAGTAAATTGATATATTTATTTTGTGGCGACCGGTCTTTGTTGTTTATTAACAATGAAGTTTGCTTTTCACCTTTAAGGTGACGAAAAAGAAAATGTCAACTAAGTTAACAGCGTTGCAAAAGGTGTATTACAAAAAAGAATTTTTAGCATACATGCAAATAACCAAAAGTAACGCAACCTCTTGCACTTAATACGTTTTGTTAATGATGTACCCATCTGTCTCTCGTGCCGCTCGGAATGATGGGTGATTTAGTTTAGCGTGTCAATGAAAAATTGAATCACATTACTTTCTTGTCTGATTTTTACTACTTTACTAAACTAAAGCCAATATCTCGCTGGTCGATTATGACTACAATTTCTTGGTAGCGATTAAGATGCTTAATGCAGAGATTGGGGTTGTTAACGTGGTTTCCAAACTTGGGTTCCTGATGGACTC